GAGTCGCCCGAGTGGGCTGAGAATGGCGGTTAATAAATGCTCCAAATAAATAAATAAATAAATAAATAAAATCACTACCTCTGAAGATGCTTGCCATAGATGCAGGCAAAACGTCAGGAGAAAATGCCTCTAGACCATGGCCATTTAGCCCAAAAAAACCTACAACAACCCACTAAGAAAATTGGGTTTATATATCTGTGGAATAATGTCCAGCGTGGGAGAAAGAACTCTTGTTTGTTGGAGCTAGGTGTGAATGTTTCAATTGATGTCAAACTGCACTCATTCTACAGTGTAGAAACATCTCAAGAAATGTCAGATTTCAAAAAACGAATCAGGTCAACCAGAACAGGACCACGGACAGCTCATTGGAGCATTTTTCCAAGGAAGGAAAGCCATTCTCCCAGCAAAGATCGGCATTCAGCTGAAGGCTTTCAACAGAAGCACCAAGCCTTCTGGCAGCTCCATTCCCATTGGATGCTGGGTGCAATGCTTCACAATCAGATGCTGTTTTTTGCAGACTTGCATTCCAATTTGATGGAGAATCAGGAAAAGCTGTAGAGAATTATCCTCAGAATCAGAGGGTGATGAGAAGCCTAAGAAGTTGAAAAAGATCTCAATTTTGGAGTTACATCTCCCAGAATCACTCAGCCAGGAGCTTCCACCTATAGATAGATACCAATATTATGGGGGATTCCAGGTATCAGGGCTGCTGTATAACATCCCTTCAGCAGAGCACCAATATATCCACAAATACCCTAAACAGTTCTGGCCCAACTTACCTGTCCGAATACTTCTCCCCTTATGAACCCTCCAGGACTTTGAGATCCTCTGGGGAGGCCCTGCTCTCAGTCCCACCTTCGTCACAAGTGCGGCTGGTGGGAACAAGAGACAGGGCCTTCTTAGTGGTGTCCCCTCAGCTATGGAATGCCCTTCCAAAGGACATCAGATTGGCCCCCTCCCTTTTAACATTTTGAAATAGTCAAGACTTGGCTCTTTGAGCATGCATTTCCAAATACAGTGTGATAGACATAGGAAAATGAAATGGTTGAACGATGCGACTGGACAATGTTTTTAATAGGAAACCCTAATGTTCATGTTTTTATTGATTTTGTTATGGTTTTATTATTTGATTCTTTTTAATTGTATTGGAATTGTATTTTATGGTCTTGGTACCAATTGTAAACCGCCCTGAGTCACCTGTGGGCTGAGAGGGATGGTGAGGCGAGGGAGAGAGATTATTTCCTCTTTAAAAACCTCTTTGCTGCCTTATACTGATTCAGTTTCTTCTTTTATATTGACTGGGACTTTCTGTGTACTGTTAAGCCTTTGTACTTTATATCGCAGGCAATGAAACACTCTTGTATATAACAAAGTAACACAGTTTATTGATAACTTTTGGCTCCAACGCTTGTGGTTACATTTGTGTTTTGTTGCAATCTTGAGTCTTACAGTCAGTATCATTTACTTGGGCATACACTAATCTGCATATGACCAATCAGTTTCACATATTCAAATGAATCCTATATCTGCTGTTGCTACCCTGTCTGTGCCCATTCTTCCCTATCTGCCATATGTAAACATAGAGCTATACACCAAAACTTTAACATAGAGTAGCAATTTCACTAGTAAATAAATAAATAAAATACAGATGCCCTATGTCATATAGAATAGCAACTTTTCAGTGACCGGCTGCATTGTATAATGAACAATGTGAAATCTCAGTGTTCAGCATTGCTAGATGCCAAATTCCACTTTCACCATTGTCAGCCAAATAAAGGCATATCCCACTATTTTGCAATAATTTCCTTTTCAATGTTTTGCTTTTCAATGGAACTAAATTATAACCATGTATCGCACTTCTGACCCTAGTCTGCTCTTCCGACCACACACTGTTTCTTTTCTTTCTTAGTCTATTCATTTCTTTCTCTCTCTTTCAGCTTTGCAAACTACAAAACAATGGGTTCTGCTTTTCAGCCAGTCTCTGGACCTTGGTTTGTCAAATAAGCAGGGGATTCCTTAAATGTATTATGCTAGGGTGAATAATTTATCCCACTTAGGTGTATGTCACAGGAAAGGAAATGTTTCAACTCCTGCACCTTAGAACAGAAAAATATATGTAATTGGTGCTCAATGTGTGTAATCCAGATATGTTGTAGATGCATGTGTTTATGCTTGTTCTGCTTCACAGATCAGAAAAGTTTGTTTCAATTTTTATTCCAACTGTTTTTCTCTTCTCCAGGTTGCAGGACTTTCTGGGATAACATCACTTGCTGGCCTGCAACGCATTTCAACGAAACCACCGTATTGCCCTGTCCAACTTTTTTATTCACTTCGAAGAGTAAGTGATACTGAGCAGTGTTTTGCAAATGAAAGTAAAGAAATATTTTGTTTTGCAAACTTGTTCACCTCCAAAAAAGGAGTCCCCGGTGGGGCAGTGGGTTAAACCCCTGTGCCGGCAGAACTGAAGACCGACAGGTCACAGGTTTGAATCCAGGGAGAGGCGGATGAGCTCCCTCTGTCAGCTCCAGCTCCTCATGCAGGGACATGAGAGAAGCCTCCCACAAGGATGATAAAAACATCAAATCATCCAGGCATTCCCTGGGCAATGTCCTTGCAGATGGCCAATTTTCTCACACCAGAAGCAACTTGCAGTTTCTCAGGGAGCCCCTGGTGGTGCAGTGGGTTTGATATCGAGCCCTTTTTTGGGGGGTCTCCCCGCTGGAGGAATCCCTGAAGACCGCTAAAGGGGTCCGGTAACCTTGGTGAACAGCCAGCGATTGCCAATCCAAAAAGCGAAAATATTAAAATTAATCTCACCAAGGCCGAAGAGGTTCAGTGACCGAAGCTTTATTTCTGCGATTCAGCTGAAAAGGATGCGTTACAGGAATTATTCCACTGCAAGCATGGTTTTACTGAGTTTTACAGGCATTTTATACAGTCAGAACAAAGGAAAATCAGTTTGAAAATCCCACCCGCCCTCCGTCGGCCGGCTTCGCCCTGATTGGCTGGCCCTGGAACAGCTGGGAGGAGGCTTGGCCGCATGTCCCGCCTCCCGACCAACCAGCGAGCGCTGCCGCCTCTAGGGGGCCAATCGGAGCCTCCCTAGCGCCTCTGAAGATGGTCCAATCAGAGGCCAGGAGGCGGGACGAAGTTTGACAGCTCAGGGGAAGCGGAGTGCCCAGGGGGCACTTGCCAGCTGTTTCCGAGCCTTTGTTCTTATCAGCGGGGTGGCAGGCAGGAGGGACAAAGAGTTTCCTGGTCCGGTGATAGGATTTGAGAGAAAATATGAAAAGGGGCTGTTGATGGCATTTGGATCTCAAAACTCTGTAAACAAGGGGCCCTGTAGACAAAGGAGCTCAACAAACACCAAAAATTGAGTTAATCAATCTTTCTACCGGAGTTTCTGTTGACCCATCTCTTATCTCATTGTCTGCTCTGAAAATGAGCCTCGAGATGGGATCAAGCACGGCCCATGCAAATGTAAATATGGACTGTCTTGGGAGGACAAAGGGTTTCCTCCCTGTTGCAGTAATCCTTGGGTCACATTCCTTTGGGGCAAAAAGGGTCAGAGAGGAAATGCGGGGAGGGGAACCTAAGCATATTTCATTCCATAACATATTTCATATACCTTATACATTTCATGCGGCAAATCCCATCCCCAACCCCAGCGAGAGTTTATTTATAAGAATATTTAGTCACTTTATTATAGAAAGAAATCCATGGACTCCTGGCGAAGGCACACGGAGGTGGTGGCCGCTTGCAATTCGGAGCAAGTCTGAGCTGAAGGTTCATATCCAAAATGTGGCTGAAAACAGTCCGGGATGTGGAGCAGAAAGTCAATAGGAGAGGGCAAACAGGAGAGTCCAAAGGGGCTTCCGGGTTGTGTTCAATGGGGCAATGTCCTTTGGGAAACTACATTTCCCTGATCAAGGGCCAGGGTCCAGTGCACAAGCCAGAGAATTCACAAAGAAGAAACAGGAACCCAGTTATGTGTGCTGGGTCAGGAAGCAACAGAATCCATTGTCCGGCCCTTGGCGAACTACAAATACTTGAGGGGGGGGGAAAGATGCTCTGCATCAATTCCTCCCTTCGAGGCTGGAAAATGGTCACGCTCATTTTCCCAAGCCTCGACAATTCTCTAGCACCCAGGGCCTCTTTCTAGACTGATTAGATTGTATTCTGTTGATTATTTTGGGGCCCAACTTAAGCAACAACAGCAGGACCCAGCAGGGTGGGAGAGACCAGCGGCAGTGTGTCCTTTGGGTTGGAGAAAGAAAAAAAAATAAGACTGAAGTAAGAAGGTGAAGACGGTGGAGGCAGGGGATGATGGAGTCTGTGATGGCAGTCAGCATGGAGCACTCAGGGGTCCCGAGTGAGTCCCCAATGGAGAAGGATGGCACATGGTGGAATTCTCCCATCTGGCAGTGGTCCTCAGGCCTCCTGGGGGCGCTGGCTCCTCCCTTGGTACTGAAACAAGGAGAGCAGCCGAAGAAGAAGAAGAAGAAGATGGGGCACAGCCTTGCTACTCCTTCTGGCGTGGCGCCTCCTGGTGACCGCAGACAGGTCCGGCTCTCCATCATCACAGAGACTCAGGGGTAGTGTCTAGGACAGTCAGAAAGAAGGTTTACAGCCCCCCCACCCCCCCTTTCCCAGCCCAAGGGTAGTTAGTAGGGAAACAAAGGGAAAACTTTCATACCTAGTGAGGACTTCAGTGGTCTCCTTTGGGCCACTCCTCTGCACAGCTTCTGGAATGGGCAGGGCCTCCTTCCTTCATGGCAGTTGCTGTGGGATCCTGGTTGCTCCTCCTGCGATGGCATTCCCCCGTGGGGGCTCAGATCAGCCTCTAGGAGGGGCTGTCTCTTCTGGGCGGCATGGGGTCTGGTCCCGCTCTCCTAGGATCTTCCTGTGCCATCTGGGTTCCACACAGGAAAGTCCACAGACCTCCCATTGTTCACCTCACCCAGGTAGTTGTCCTCAGCGGCAGGAGTGGATTATGGGTCCCACAGTTCGATCTGATGTCTGGTGGTCTCTTCACTGCGCAGAGGGGACCCCTGGACCTCGACGTCCTCCTCATATTTAAGGCAGTTAATGGGATAATTTAGACATACACATACATGCGCTCAGGGAAAGGGGAGGGAGGAAGGGCCAGGAAGGAAAAAAAGCATCAGAGGGACTGTGTATGTGAGAGAGAGACTTAACCATAGATGTGGGTGAAATGTCAGGAGGGAATGCTTCTGGAACATCTCTTCCTTTGGTTTGAGAGGAAGGAGGTAAGAGGGAGCAGCAGGATTTCTCTGGGAGATAGAGGAAAGAATTTACAGAATACTGGCTTCTTAGAAAATGGGAGGGGAGGGAGAAGAGAGAGAGAGAGAGAGAGAGAGAGACCCAGCAAACTTTATTTGGCAAAAGGAAACAGGAACAGAAAAAAAAGGTCCCCCCCCTACACCTCCCTTTGTTTGCAAGAGGAGAAAGGGAGGAGGGGTTTGAAAGCAAAAAAAGAGGGGAAGTTGGGGAGTAAAGAGAAAACAAAGGAAAAGGCAGGGACATTGGTGACTGCCTCTGAAAAATGGGTTTTGTAGTTGCACAGAAGAGAAGGGGAGAAGAAGAGAGCTCTTGGGTCAGGGAAACCAGGGGAGGGAGAGAGAGACAGACTTTTGCAAGGCAGCTGAGTCACATCAGTGGCAGGGTCTCTCCTGGTGGGGAGAAGCACAGGGCACTGAAGACTCAGCTTTAGAACGAAGGGGATTTGTAGTAGCTTGGTGAAGAAGGGAATGAGCAATGCCTCTTTCCCATCTGAAGGAAGGAAAAGATGGCACAGGAGAAAGCAGGAGAGGAGGAGAGCAAAGAATTTCCCTAGTGCATTTCCTCAAGGAGCAGAAAAAAAAATGGAAGGGGCATATAAATGCAGACATATCATAAATAGGGAATAGGGAAATGGAGGGGTTGGAAAGGGGAGGAAGGAGTCAGGGAGATTGGGTAAAGGGAAATGGGAATGGGATGGTAGGGGAACAAGCAATTTTCAAAGGGAGGGGGGGAAAGGTCTGGAGGGGGGGTCTCTGGGAGGAGGGGGTGACTTGTGGCCTTCCTTTTGCATGGTCAAAGTTGGGCACAATCTCCTCCCTCCACCCCCCTTCCGGCACAAGGCAAAAAGGCATGAGGCATAGGCGAGTTCGGTCCACTTGGCTCTCTCACAGCGATCCGACTGCCGTGAGGGGGCCACGAAACTCCACCTTCTAAGGGCCTGGCGGGCCACTTCTTCATGCAATTTTTACCATACTGGCCTGCGTCGGCGACGCAACCCCGTTTCATTCCGCCAGTACTCTTCCTAAAGGTGTATCTGATGAAACGGGACGTGTGATCCCAGACCCACAGACGCCCCTCTCTCTCTACCAGCCCCACAGACCAGTGGTTAATCAGGGAAGCCCCCCCCCAACCGCAAGGCAGGGCCAGAACCTGAAGAGTTCCTGGATAGGAGAGCTCGGGGCGATCAGCACCTGACAGCTAGGCAGTCAAAAGGGGAGGACTCCCTTTCCCACGTAGCTCCCGTCAGGTCCGCAAAAGCGAGCTGAATTGCAAGGCCTGGACCTCAGACGCCTGGATGTTCGCCACCCCCAGTCAGGAATTTGTTACCGAGTCCCAGAGGATCCCTTCCCAGTGGGCCAACTCCGAAGCTGGTTCGGGACAGTCTAGAACCCCTCCCACCTGACGACCACCGGGGCGACCCACGGTTGCTTTCTCTTACCCGTCCGGACGTTTTCCCCCTTGCGTCGGTCACTCCTCTTCCTGGAAGTCCTTGGATCAAGGCTTCCCTGGCGCTCCTTTGTGCCGAAACTCCGGGTCAGAGCTTGGGAGGAGGTGGCTGCGGGAGAATTTGTAGTTTTTGGTTAGCTGGTCAAATGAAGGTCCAAATCAGGAGAGGCGCCTCTTTTCCCAAGCCACTCTTCCTTCGCTGCTGGCCCAAAGAATCAGACCAAGGCGCCTGCTTGAAAATTTAGGCTATAATTTAGTCTGGACCTCAAGCAGGAGTCCCTTCGTGGTAAAGCCAATTGATATCGAGCCCTTTTTTGGGGGGTCTCCCCGCTGGAGGAATCCCTGAAGACCGCTAAAGGGGTCCGGTAACCTTGGTGAACAGCCAGCGATTGCCAATCCAAAAAGCGAAAATATTAAAATTAATCTCACCAAGGCCGAAGAGGTTCAGTGACCGAAGCTTTATTTCTGCGATTCAGCTGAAAAGGATGCGTTACAGGAATTATTCCACTGCAAGCATGGTTTTACAGAATTTCCAGGCATTTTTATAGCGTACAGACAAAGGAAACATTTTCAAAAATCCCGCCCGCC